AAAAAGAAAAACTCCCTCTCTCTCTGCCCCTCCCCCGTTCATGCTCTGTCTCTCTCTGTCCCAAAAATAAATAAACGTGGAAAAAAAAAATTAAAAAAAATAAAATAAAATAAAACATAAAAGGACCAAGAAACAATGGCAATGCTATTTCTCCCTGAAATCATCATTTGATGTATTCTACAGTTCTAGATAAGATATGGATCTTGGTAGTAGGTAGGGAGGTTACAGTCCTTCCCCTTTATAAAATTAAAATCTCAATTATAAGACAAGAGGAAACATCACACCTCACTTAAGAGGGATTATAAGATGCAAAGGCACGTAATTCAATGGGATATATAAAACTCACCCCAACAAATAAACCTAAAAATTCTTACCTAAAAGACTGAAATGTGAGTAGACTGCATGTTCTAGTGACAAGAGCTCATATGTATTCATTTCTGTTAGAATTACTAGAGCTTGAAGAGATCTTCAAGTTTATCACATCTCCTTTTACAAATGAGAGACATACAAATGGCTAACAACCTACCTGAGAGTCTCTCTAATCAGGGCTTACCTTGTTCTTCTGGGCTAAAGAGAGAGAGAGGCACCGTGAGAAGGCTCGCTTTCTGTACCAGATCTCTCCTTCGCCCAACCAGAGGGGAGACATTCAAACAGCTTTCACAGTTCATTTGACAGATGTTCACTGAACTCCAAACCAGGCATGGCACACTCATATGGTTCAGCCTGCACTGGGGACAACTGGTGGTTGCCCCTTCCTGAACAATACTGCTGCCTTGTGGGGAGTTGGTAAGTGCACTGACCCAGAAACACTGAGGCCAGGTCTCCTGCCTGTGCCCGGGACCGTGTTCCCCATGAACATTTTAGGCAGAGACCCCGGCCCAGCACTGGGATGGGAGGATGTCTGGACACTAGCAGCTTCCCTTGATGGCACTTGCTAAGGAACAGAAGACCCCTCCAGATATTGCTGTATATTTTTAACCTGGCCGACTATTGCCCGGGAATGGATGATAATTTCAACTGATTATTTTGAGAACACACACACACACACACACAGATCCCATAAAGACTTTTAGTTGAAAAAGTGGAAAAAAGAAAAACCCTCACTATTTCGTTTCCAGTTTCACACTGAGATACCACTATAAAGACTCAACCTTGGAAAATTCACCTTTAAAAATAAAATAAAGACATGCTTGGTTGGACAACTGTACACTCTAATGAGTTCTCATCTTTGTCGCCAGCTATGGGATCCTGAAGCAAATTGCTACATTTTTCTTGGCCTCCATTTTCTGTTCTACCAAATGATTATCTCCTAAAGTCTTTTCTATTTCTAACGTTCTATGATCGTATTCAAAACAGCCTACAAAGTATAATTATAGAGGAATGAATCTGATTGCTTCAACGTCATGAAAGCAGATTTACTCCCCTAGACCTCATATTCTGTAGATGACTGTGAGGTAAGCAGGAATCTGCGATGCATGTCTTTGGTTACTGAATACATGGTGCAGTGATATGGTTATTTTCTTAAGTCTTCCTCCATCATACCAGCATCCCAGGATCTACCATCAGCCAACAGATGGATGCTGATTAAAAAAAAAAAAAAAAAAATCACTAACATTCCAGAAAGATGTCCAAAAGTGCTAGGAATGTATTTTAAATTTATTTTATTTTTTTATTATTATTGGTATAATCATTTCATAATCCTTTAGGGATATAAATGAAGCCGTGGTTTAAAGCTCAAGAAATCTCTTTATATATTTTGTGATGCTAACTTTAGGATTAAAGAATAAGACGTACAGATTCCTGTGACTTATGCTATCTATTAGCTCAGGAATGCTGCATGTGTAATTTGTAATATCATACAACACTTGCCAAGGTCCTCATTTTGAGGGCTTTTCAAATAAACTGTAGATTCTTATGTGTAGTAGAGCAGGCTTTGTGTTCTGGCACAGGGAAGTTAAGACTCTGGGGTTATTTTAAACAGGCGACGGTTCTGGCTTCCTCTCCCTCCTCCTTCTCTGCCGCTGTGGGCACCCAGGAGGGCTCCATCCATTTCCTGGATGTCAGAGATCCTGAGACCCCTCGGGCAGTTTACAAGGTCTTTCCCTCCGAATGGTCTGTGCAGCACCTCCTGTAAGTACTTGCTGCTTCTGGCAGCAGCATTGTTAGAACTGTCGGTCGAGAATTACAGTGAAGCCATAATTTCTTTTAATTTTAAGTTTTACATGTTTTGTTTCAAAAATTAATACACTGACTCAGGTCACTATTCAAAAAGTACAGAGGGGTGTTGGGGCGCCTGGGTGGCGCAGTCGGTTAAGCGTCCGACTTCAGCCAGGTCACGATCTCGCGGTCCGGGAGTTCGAGCCCCGCGTCAGGCTCTGGGCTGATGGCTCAGAGCCTGGAGCCTGTTTCCGATTCTGTGTCTCCCTCTCTCTCTGCCCCTCCCCCGTTCATGCTCTGTCTCTCTCTGTCCCAAAAATAAATAAACGTTGAAAAAAAAAATAAAAAAAAAAAAAAGTACAGAGGGGTGCATCGTGAAAAGGCTCCCACTCTTGTTTCCAAACACTCAGTTGTCCTCCCTGGAGGCAGCCTGTTACCAGTTTCTCATGTCTTCTTTCCAGAGATATTCTATCCATAAATAAGCAAAACAAACCAAACAAACAAAACAAAAAAACAAAAACAAAAAACCCACAAGTAAGTTCTTCCTTTTAATTACACAAATAATTATCAAGCACTTAGAATGTGGTACGTGCTTTGTTGTATGAGATGGATACTGTTATTGTCTCCATTACGGGGGAGGAACATTAGGCACAGTGTGTTAAATAATTTGCTTAATATTGCACAGGTAGTAAATAGCAAATGTCAGGATTTGAACCCAGGTAGTGGGGGTCCAGAGTCACTGTCTTTGCTTTTATTTCTTTTCAAGTTTTGATTTAAACGCCTTTGCTTTTAATGGGTAGCAAACTGTATACAATGTTCTATACCTCATTTTTTTCCCCACTTAATGGTATATTTTGGACAATGTTTTCTATCCACATATGAAGACCTTCCTTATTCTGTTTTATGGTACGTAGTATTCCATGATATAAATATACCATCATTTAAAACTTTTTAATTTTAATTCCAGTATTGTTAACATACAGTGTTAGATTCATTTCAGTTGTGCAATATAGTGATTCAGCAGTTCTACACATTACTCAGTGCTCATCATGGTAAGTGTCCTCTTAATCCCCTTCACCTGTTTCACTGATTTCCGCCCCCTCTCCCCACCTCCCCTCTGGTAACCATCAGTTCTGCATAGTTAAAGAGTCTATTTCTTGGTTTGTCTCTCTCTCTCTCTCTCTCTCTCTCTTTTCCTTTACCCATTTGTTTTGTTTCTTAAATTCCACATATAAGTGAAATCATTTGGTATTTGTCTCTGACTTATTTCACTTAGCATTATACTCTCTAGCTCCATCCATGTCGTTGCAAATGGCAAAATTTCATTCTTTTCTTATGGCTGAGTAATATTCCATTATATATATATATATATACACACATACATACATACATATACACCACATCTTCTTTATCCATTCATCAGTTGATAGACACTTGGGTTGCTTCCATAATTTGGCTATTATAGATAATGCTGTAATAAATTTAGGGGTGTGTGTATCCCTTTGAATTAGTGTTTTTGTATTTTTTGGGTAAATACCCAATATACTATCATTTTTAAAGACTGAGTTCTTTGGGGTTTTGTTTTGTTTTGAGAGAGAGAGAGAGAGCACGCAAGCAGGGGAGGGGCAGAGGGAGAGGGAGAGAGAGAATCTTAAGCAGGTTCCATGCCCAGTGGAGAGCCTGATGTGGGGCTCGATCTTACAACAGTAACATCATGACCTGAGCCTAAATCAAGAGTCACTTAACCAAGGGAGCCACCCAGGTGCTCCAAAAGTGTGTATCGATG